AGATCAATGTCCTGCTTCCCCTTCCTCACCCTAAAAAGTTCATAAACATTATAAATTCAGTGTTGAGAAATCATCTCTAAACTTTGTCCGAAAGTTTAGAGTTTATACATACACATATAATTCAATATAGCCCCAACGATAAACAGTTTCTCAACTTTCTCTCAGATGCTGGAAATTTTAAAGTCTTGCCAAACTGTAAACCAACTCTCCACTTGGTCCGTTAAGGAATATCTCGATTTTTGCGAATACTTGAGAGCGCACAAGGTTCTTCTTTTCGAAAAAACAGAATCTCGCAAATATCTCGAAATTTTGGCAAGAACTTTGATTGATCTACATAGGTGGCATTGATATGAACATTTTGAAACAAACAAAAATTAAATCGGCCCTCTACTTTTGGAGATATTTGCCAAAAATAATTAAGAAATAAATCACTTTTTCTCCAAAACTATTCTACTGATCGATTTAGTTTTGCGTACACAGTTAATCCCCATTAAAACCTATGATCTTTGAACATTTCTGATTTTGTTGATTTTTTTTAGTCAAAAAAATTTAGTGAATGATTTTCTAAAAGTGTATTTTTGCGTTTCAAATCATTATACGTCATTTTCAATGAAAGTAAAGAAATGTGAAAATTGACAGATTACCATGCTTCCATTCGGAAATCGAGAATCAAACTAAATTTGGTGAAAATTTATTTTCAGTTGAACGAGAATAATAAAAAATTTGGAAAAATCTCGAAAGAACAGACACTGCCAATCCCATTCTTCCTGTTTTTCGATTTTTCCTAATTTTTGGTTTTCCTTTTGGAACATCCAATCCATTGTCGAGATATTCCCTTAATTTTCTCGTTTTTTCATAACTTTGGGTCTATTTAGTATTTTTTTCTAATTTTTCTGATTTTGGATATTTTCTTAAGAAATTTTTCCTCCCCTTGAGAAAAATGTCCTCTAGCGATTCAGTGAATGAATTTTCAGTATCGGCAGCCTTGAAAGAACTACCCAATTAATTTTGAACATCTGCTGATATTTGGATAATAATTTCCTTATCTAAATTTTAGTCAGGGGAATTGGACCATGAGTGAACTTTATTTGAGGATTTCGACAAGAAATTGTTCTGATCATGGAATGATTGCTTTCCTTAAATATAATCAACATGATAAATTTCTAGTTGAATTACAATAAAGTATCAGCTATAATACTTCAAGACCTTCAAAATTATGCGATGTTTGCTGAATGTTTTGTTGCATAGCAACGAGAGGGATCAGTGCTGGAGATTAAAATATCTGATGAATTTTCAAGGTCTGGAGGTATTGAGAGGACCATTTTCTTAAGAGTGTTCTACACCCATATATAGCCAAAATCAAGGTTTTTTCATTTTCTGCTAAATTGCATTTTTTTAGATTTTGCATTTTGTCATTAATTAATGACTCACGAAATTTCAAGATGGCGCTAACAGTTATCTTCGTTTTTTCTAAACTTTTAAAAAAAATAAAAAATAATAATAAAAAAAATTGTAAACACAATGAATGAAAATTATCGCACCAACACAAAACTTTGTGAGCCATTACAATAATTGTAAATGTAAAAGTGTTAAATAATGACAAAACTAAACCGAAAAAACTCTTTATATTTTTTACATCAATCCCATCGATAATTAGTCAACAAATTTAAAAAACCTGAATTTTGGCTATGGAATATCCTTAATTCGAATTCCGACGCATTAGGCTGCGGTGTTTGAAATAACGGGACACGTTCAATCAAAATAAAGTGAAAAATATGTCCGAAATTTGTAAAAAAAAAAAAACAATTGACAGGCTACCGGCAAATTACCAGCTTGAAATGTCTCAGGTGACTCCAAACTTGCAGTCTAATTGGTCGGAATCAGAGTTGAGGAAATTGTACGCTGAATATCCTGGAGACTATAGAAAATAATAGTCGAATCGTGCAATTCCATTGGCTCAAATTTGAATGAGAAAAATTTTCTAGGAAATTCTTTTTAGGCTAGTGACGATTTGTAATATTTCAAGACCAGCGATATGAAAAAAATTGTGGTTACATTACATTGCAGCTAAAGTTTTTCACTGAATAATGAAAATCACGATCAGAGAAGTGAGATCACGAGGAAGAGAGCAAGCTGTTTCTTTTGGATATTTTCTAGTCTCTTTGACATTATATCCTTTTTCATTTATTTATTTTATCTATCTTTATTTATGATTTTATCTGTCTTTAAATTTCGAATATTTTGGAGGTGACGTAATGAATACCCAATTGGGTTACTACCCTAAAAGGACGATCTCGTTGAGCATTGGATCCATCAGGCCTTTCCGCAGATTACTCGAGTAAGGACTCTTGAAAATTTATGTGCAGGTTGTTTCTAGGATCATTTCGAATATGTGCAGCAAGTTTCACATTTCAATTAAACTGACGTTGTAAAGCTTAGGTGCTCTGTAGTTATCAAATGAAACCTAGAAGCTGCATTTGCTAACTTCAACCGGTCAATCTCCCACAAGAAGTAGGCCAGAGAGGTTTTCACGGAGTTCTCCTGATAAAACGTCCCATCTGATAAAGGTGATATCCCGGGCGACCTGATGGACATAATCGAGATATTCGTATAAAGGAATACTTGGGAAGAGAGTAGAAATACTTGACCACGTGGCACCAGATTAATGTTGTTGACACAATTTTTTTGATTATTTGTTTATGTAATATTAATGTTTCAAATGTAAAAACAAATTCTCCTATATTTATAAATAGTTTCTTATAGATATAAATCTTCTTTTTTTAAATTTTGGTTATCTGTATGTGTAAAGTATATGGTCCAATAATTTTGCAGCAATTAATAAAGAGATAGTAATTTTTAAATTATAACGAAGCTTTTCTAAATACTTCCATATCATTTGATAGTTACTTCTGATAATTTTCAGAACTAAACACGTAATTCGTCGCCAAGTATCCTTTTTCGATTTCGCGATACGTAGTGCCATCTCTCGGATAAATCGAAACGAAAGCTCTCATGGTATGCTATTAAGTGTTATGTTCACGATAACATACCGACTTACTTTATTATCGACTGTATGTGGTCAATTCGAAACTTCCTTCATTCGAAATTGAACTACTTGAAGCGGAAGTCCGCTATATAAACTTTGATAAATGGAATAGTAATCACATTAATAATACAATAAATTACAGAATCATGAAAAGATTAGCTGTCTTATTACGTATATCATGTATTATTCTGATAACCTGTACAGTTTTTGACATTAATTAAAATACCAGTAGTAAGATTTTTACACAATTTTGATAGGAGAATTATCGCTGTTTCCCGTAAGTAAGATTGATAACTATTCCGATGAAAATTAAAGCAAATTCTAGTTTTTTATCAAGTTATCTGCTGTCTATCTTGGAAATGAGTAGAATCACAAGCAATCCGTTTTAGTTAGCACAATACTTTCACATAACATATTTCGAAAAAACAAAGCTGGTCAAAACAGATATATTTCACTACTACATGATGGGAAGAGTTTGTAGGGTTTTATTTGATATCATGTAGTTGATTCAGTAATGGAACCAAATACAATCTCACTCTTTTGTAGAAAAGCCACTATACACTTATATCGGCCCTGAAAATCGATATTAATCTACATTATCAGGGAACAAAGTTTTCTGATGCACTTTCTTCTGAGTGCTTTCTTTCCTACAATTTGAAATTTTATTAAGAAACTAAATTTGTAGCATATTGTTCTTCGAAACTGATTATTGCAACGTGGGGAACCACAGGTAGGCTCGGAGCTGTAGCCATAAAATTATTGAGGTTTTAATTATAAGGGACGTAACGTGATTACAAGGATTGTCGTATATTTGAGTGATGGGGGTAACATTGAGCGATAGCGCATGCGCGTGATTGAAATGTGAGGGCAAAATGGTTTGAATTTTTATGCACGTGTTTGTACATATTCTTTTTAGTTTAAAAAAATGGAATTAAGAGATTATGGTTTGGATTCAATATTCATTGGAAATGAAAGTGAGATGCTCGTGAACTTGTGAAAGAAATATTTCAGCGTCAATTAAAGATTAAAGGATGCCGATAATTTTTTTGATTATGAGAAATTTATGAATTTTAATTTGGCATCGAGAGCGGGAAATACAGAAATCAAAAGTTTGAAAATTAATGTCAAGTCAGGTTTTATTAACAACATGATAGTATTTAATTACTGTTTTCCGAGAAAAATATTTCCACTTCAAGAAATGTATTAAAGGTACACAATTTTTCATTATGCAATCCATTAAAAGCACCCAATAACCAGTCAAAAGCATATAACAACAAAAAAAGCAATAATACAAAAAATATTTCTATTAGAGAAATAGAAAATTTTTCTATTTCACTTTTTCCACCACCAAGTTTCTGTCGAATATCCCCACTACTCTTACCACGCGCAGGGCATCATGGGCCCGAAGAGGGTGCAGCCATAAACTTTATGACTTGGGACAATTTCGCTTTTAATGGAAGTCGGGAGCTGGAGTAGCTCCGAGAGCTGAGGTTGCCCACCTCTGCCATAGGCAATCGGATGGAAATGCTTATGGAACTGGTATTAATTTGTAGGGAAAATCGTTGCGGAAATTTGATTATTATGCAAAAGGAGCTTTGCGAGAGTTCAATCTAAAATCATAACCTTGCCTTTCATGTTGTCAACCGTTAATCTGTAAATGTTTTGGCATAGTCCTTTTGTGAATATTATAGACAATTAGTACATTCGAATTTTCGCGGTTTTATTCATTTCTCACTAGCAACGGCCTTCAAAGCGATTGAAGCGTCATCTTCAGAGCCACAATACCCAACAATTTGCGCCAACCTGTTCATCATTACTGCAAAACTATATTTGATTTATGAAAATGTGCATTCATTTTCAGAAAGTAATTTTATTTTACCATTGTGTACTGTTGAGTTCTACCTCGATTACATTACTTTTCTCTTAAATGTTAAAAAAAGGCTTGTTAAAAAAAATAATTGTTTGAGTAATGCATAGCAAATAATTATAAATATTGTTTCATTGTTTGTCATGTTATGGCGAATATGGTGGAAATTGATTTTTCAAATAGCTTCTGAGCCTCTCCTAAAAACAGTGGCTGTATCGTGTTGGTTGTGGCGACTGCGTCGCAGCGGCGGGGTGGTTGGGGGGGCTAGGCTCAGTGGCTGCAGTGTTATACTGCTCTACCAAGTTGTGTGTGTGTGTGTTTTCGTCTGTAGAATTTTCATACCTTCACTCAACTATAAAATTCCCAAAGGAAGCCTCAATCAGTATCTTCCTCATACGTCAATTAGTCCCTTCAAATATTCAAAAAATGTTCTCAAACATGGAAATTATCAGAATATCTATTTATTGAGGTACCGCCCAGTCTAACCTCTCTCATGATGTGATCAACAAATCCAATAGACTCAATTACACTTTGCAAAAAATGTTTTTTCCAATTGGTTGGCCGCGAGTTCTGAATACCTCTTGTACATCCTCCATTATTGCAATCACTTGCAATCGCGACAAGATTCTTTTCGCCATTGTAACCCGCTCGTCTTTAGCCATCTGGTATTGTAAACCCTGCGTGCCCATCGTCTTCAGCAGAAGAACTGACGATTGCATAGATAAATACGGAGAAAATAGCCTAGTCCAATGGAGACCAGACTCATCTATGCTGGTGGTGACCACCTCGGACAGTTATCTTCTATTCTACCGTTTGTCAGATACTGCTGGAGAATCCCGAGGTCTCTACGAGCAGAAGGACTCTCCTGTTACAAGCCTCCGTAGAGATTCAGCAGAGCTCTTTATCAAGGAAGTAATACCTTCTTTGATTCTCGTCTTCGTAATGCCAGTGTGGATCGATGGAGGAATCAGTTCACTAGTTTGCATCAGGGATGAACTGATGATAGCCACGAAAACGAGTCACATCGTCAGACAACGTTGGGAAGGTACCGCCAATCGTGATTACTCTCTCGATCTCAGAAGAATTCCCTTCAGCATCGATCAACAAGTCTCAACTCCTGCTCTACCAATCACTGAGAATAACGTTCATGTCAGTGATATCGAATACTCTCCACTGGTGGGAGGATTTGCCATTGTTCTTAGCAATGGAAAGGCTGCATTTTTAACAGCGCAATCACTCAAGTTCGATCCGAATCAAGTGCAGGGAATCTGGGCTAGATATCTCGAGGATGCGACTTGTGCTGCTGTCAATCATAAATACAGACTCATTGCATTTGGTAGGGAAAATGGAGAGGGGGTTGTTTATTATGTCGATGAGACGACTGGAGCTCTTGAGGTGTCACATGTGCTCAACTTGTCCTCGAAGGACTATCCAGGCAAACCGGGAAGGGTTAAATGTATCAGATGGACACCTGATAGTTGTGCTATTGCATTGGCTTGGGAGAGTGGCGGATTGGCTATTTGGAGCACATTTGGGGCTTTGCTTTTATGTACCCTCAAGTGGGACTATGGATTGCATGTGGACTTGGGAAGAGATAATCCTCTGAAGATCAGGACTATGGAGTGGAGTGCTGAGGGGTACAGGCTGTGGATGCTTAGAGAATCACCTCGCGGGTGTAATGGAGGAGAGAATGGAAATGTGGAGGGAGATTATGGAAGGAAGTCTGTAGTGCAGCTCGACTTCGTGAAAAGCCCTTTGACTGTCAATCCATGTATGGTAAGAAAGCCAGGAAATTATTTACCTCAAATTATTGGATCAATGAATTCCCACTGAAAATACCGCTAAAGAAGTTTAATTCAGTTATAAAATTAATGGTATGAAGAAGGTAATCAGATTATTCTCAATATAAACAGAGTTCGATGGGTTATTTAATATCCATGACCAACGACTGGTATCTGTACTCAATGGTAATTTTCATCAGTAATACAGTTGGTCTAACAACGTTCCATCCGGAGTACAGAAAGTTCAATCAGTCCAATTCCACCGCTTCTGGACTAGATTTTTAAAATTTTCTCCTGCAACTAAATATTTTGATGGATCAAATAATTTTTGTTTATAAAGTTTTTCGTTTTTTAGTCCATTACAGTGGATTTTTTTAATCAAAATTAGCTCTGATTGTTGTTAGGGACATGGACATTTGTATCTTCAAGGAGAGGATCGCTTGTACCTGAATTTAGGTGGTGTATCGGCGGACACCCCTGGCTTTCATCTGACCAATGACATGCCAAACGATTCATCATCACAAACTTTAGCTGGATCAAAACAGTGGCTCGTGGTTCCAATTCCCAGTACCTACACAGGTTCCAACTGGCCAATTAGAGTGAGTGTTGTATATTAAATTAACTAAAGGCATGTACTGAATTTTTTTTCATGCAAAGAGACTGCTTGATGATACTTTCAATCGCATATATAGTATACTGCAATAGATAATGAGGGGTTGAGCATAGCCGTCGCCGGCAGAACTGGTCTGGCTCATTACTCGTTGCAATCCAGGAAGTGGAAGCTGTTTGGAAATGAAACTCAGGAGAAGGACTTTATCGTCACTGGAGGACTGCTGTGGCATCGAGGATTCATGATCGCTAGTAGTTATTCATTACTCGAGGACAAAGATGAAATCCGAATTTATCCGAGGGATACGAGGCTGGATAATAACTACGTCAAAACGTTTAGAATGCCTTCCCAAGTGTTGCTTTTAAATACTATGAAGGCGAGACTCCTCACCTTCTGTGCTAATGGACAAATCAGTATTTTTGATATGGCTCTACAAGGAGAAGAAGGTAAATAATTAAAAAATGAGTTTTTTATTTGAAGATTTACATTGGATTGAATAAAGACGAATACCACCCTGACAAATGTCGACAAGAGCTGTCTCGAGAGATTGATTGCTAAAAATATCAAATTTGCTCAGAAATCATTTTAAACCGATTGCATGGAAAAATTGAATAGCAAAACCTAGTGAACTTTTGAGTCTTTTTTTATTATTATGTTTATTAATCTTTGGTTGACTAAAATTTTCAGGTTCTGGAAGCATTGAATTAACTCGAACCCAAACAGTTGACATTTCCGGTCTCTGCGTGCATCCAGCTTGTGTAGTTAGTGCAACATTGACTACAATCCGTGCAGAGACAGCAGGGAGTCATCCTCATCCGGAGAGTCTCCTATTAAATGTGTCTGGACGTCTCTTGATGGTGCAACGAGAGCACTGCACAGATAACCCTGATGTTCTTTTCACGTGCTCTCCTCCGAATGTGTTGGCCTCCTGTGTGGAAAACGTTTGGGTGCCCGCTCGCTCTCGGCGTGACAAACCACATCTCACCGAGGCTCTCTGGCTGTTCTGTGGGGCCCATGGGATGCGTGTTTGGCTACCTCTTTTCCCACGCAATCATCAGGACAATGCTCACACCTTCATGTCCAAACGAATTATGCTCCCTTTTCACTTGCGCATCTATCCTTTAGCAATCCTCTTTGAGGATGCTATTCTCCTTGGGGCTGAAAACGACACAGTTCTGTACACATCAGACACCAATTCTCCTTTTTCACTCCCCTTCTCTCTTCTAGAATTGACATCTCAAGTATACCTCCATCAGATTTTACGTCAATTAATCCATAGAAATCTTGGATATCACGCTTGGGAAATTGCCAGGTCATGCGCCGCTCTTCCTTACTTTCCTCATTCTCTGGAACTGCTTCTCCACGAGGTCCTAGAGGAAGAGGCCACCAGTAAAGAACCTTTGCCCGATGCTCAGTTACCCTCAGTGGTGGAATTTATCAGAGAGTTTCCTGGAGTGTGGGCCAGAGCTGTTGTTCAGTGTGCCAGGAAAACAGAAATAGCACTTTGGCCTTATCTTTTCTCGGTTGCTGGACCACCAAAGAAGCTTCTGCAAGACTGCTTGCAGAGGCAGCAGCTGGATACGGCTGCGAGTTATTTGATAATTCTTCAAAACTTGGAACCTTCAACAGTTAGTCGCCAGCATGCAACGTTGCTACTCGATGCAGCATTGGAGCAAGGAAGGTGGGAACTAAGTAGGGACTTGGTACGATTCCTGCGTGCCATAGATCCGAACGATGTAGATTCTCCTAGAAACTCTTGGGGAGGATCTGCGAAATTGGCGGGACCGCCTCCAACCCCTCCAGTTTCACCTCATGAAGAAGATCTTTCCTTAGTTCTTGGCACCATGCAGGTATCCAGGAGCAGGAGTTACAGTACCACTGTGACGCCAAAAGTACAGTATGATGGGTCATCAAAAGATCCATCTCCAGGAGCGTCGATGCTCGAGAAGACCAGGAATGCAGTGATGCGGAGGAAGAAGTCCCTTCCCAGTGTTAAAGCAGAGAAAAATGAGAGCAAAGAGGGATCCGCTGAGGAGTTTTTCATTGACGTAATCCTCCAGAGACATGCTAGAAGATTACTAACCGCTAGAAGACTCGCCGATCTAGGTAGATTTGCAGCTAGACTCGATTTTCACCTGGTAACGTGGTTGGCGAGGGAGAGAGAGCGTGCAGCAAGAATTGATGATTTCGTAATTGCCCTGAAAGCTGTCCATGAGGATTTCTCGTTCCCTTATCCCACGGTTTCACTGTCAAATCTCCAGAAATTCCGTAAGGCGAGTCATGCGTCGTTGAGATCGAGATCAGTGAGCTTGGAAATGCCTGAGGGACAAAGTCCAGAGCCCGCGCAAAATTTCGTGGATCTTCCACCTGATAGTGGATACACGAGCTTGCCCAGCTCCAGTCCTCCTTATGGAAGTCTAGTGTCACCTGTGGCGAGTCTCGAGACTCAATTCCCAGTTGCCGAGGCAAAGTTGACACCAAGAATGCTTCAGGATGCTACTAGCGTTCTTAGTGACACATCGACCAATTGGAGAGATGATGTGGAGTCTATGGTGGGTACGGTTTGCTGGGTTGATCCTGAAGAACCCACTGAGGTACAAAATACTTCTCTGTGTGGATCAAGTAGCAGAGCTGAGGTACAGCTGAGGTACTTACTCCAACTGTTTCTTGAAGCTGGATGCGTTGGATGGGCTGCAGTGCTTGCTACTATTCTCCGGGATGTCTCAGCCATGGCGAGAAGTATAAGAGCAGCACATGCTCCCATGCAAACACTCGAGAGTATCATTAACCTCAGAGATGGAATTCTCATGCTGACAAAATGGTCAAATTCGGAATGTCTCGGCTACAGGAATTTTACCTCGGGACTTCAGCCACAGACTTCCCTGTTAAATCGTCTAATTGTGATGAAGCAGCAACAGCAAGTCCACCATCTCCAAGAAAACCATCAGGAGGTGCCAGTTAGTCCTGCTCCCAGTCCTGCTCCTTCATTTGCTAGCAATCAAAGGGGCAACATCAGCAGATCCAGGAGATCATCCGCCAGTCATGCTAGCACTGCAACTACAACCCTAGAGGAAGAACGAGGGGACATATTCGAGGAGGAGAGTGGATTCAGGGGGAGCTACGGGAATCTCAGTATGATAGAAAAAGAGCCTAACTCACAGAGTTGCAGTATTTCTTAAAAAAAAAAAACAAACAAACAAACACGAAAACCACTGCATTGTTGCTCAATTTCATTTGTGCAATTTAATCGTTGAGTGGTAATTGTGGCCCTGGTATTGCTCGTAATGGAGAATTACAACTATAAAACTAAATGCAGAGGACTGACCTCACAATGACAAACACTGTCGTCGAGATGGATACGAAATTTGATGGTATTATTATGAGAAAAATCCTCAATTTTTTCTTTCAATGTAGTATTGAAGTACGTGGAGAAATCCAATCAGCAGTGAACGGATAAGATATTGACCGAACAGAACAGAACATTTTATGACGAATTTCGAGATATTTAAGACCAGAATTATCAGTATATAAAATGAGTATAAAATGTTTGTGTTTTTATCTGTCTATTGAAGAAAAACGCAGTGATTAGAGACCATAACCGAACATTTTTTCACAAGTTTGTACTGAAAAAATATCAGAGATTTTAAAGCATTTGAAGAGAAATACGTAAAGAATTGATAGCAACAAATTGATCGTTTCTCAACAGTTTTTCTTGTCTGTGTTTATTTGATTCAATCAATGTTCGATGAGGAATAGATTTAAAGGGGACACATCGATAAATGAATGGGTTCAAATCCATAGCGAAAATGTAAATGGTAATATTGGTTTTCATGTTCTAGTTCATTTTAGTACATATCTTGAGATCGCGTAATATCACGAGGACACATCGAAGGAATTGTTCTGTAACTTAGAAAAGGGATGAAAATGGTACGTTAATTTTTTATTTTCAAATTTTTAATCATCACAACATTGAGATTCTTTAAAGTCGGAAAATCTAGAAAATCATTAAGAATCTGTGTTCATTATCATTAATAAGGGATTGAAGCAATATGAAAATTGTAAGGAATTTTGGCAAATTTTTTCTAAAAAATGGTTTAAAGTGAAATCTATCAGTCTGTGATTGATCCAAGAACATTATTTCCAGAAAAACTCATTTTTCGCTCGATGGATTGATTTGATTTGCGGCAACGCTGTGTGAATTTACAGGGAATTGCAATCAATTAACAACGTTGAAAATAATTTTAAGATAAAATTGTTTCGACAAATTCGTTTTCAATATACATGATATTACTATATTACTCTTTGTTGTGAATCCTGTGGATCTTCCGACAACTCGATAATTGCTCATTAGATATAATCACTGAAAATTAAATATACGCGAAGAGCTCGAGGATTTGTTTGTGAATGTTTTAACAGTAAACCATTATTTCACTGATTGAGCCAGGAACCGGGATAGACTAAATGGAAATGCCATTTTTATCTCAGTTACCTACTACACCATATGGATAAGGGAATTGATTATGTGGCTCTAGGTGTCTGTTAGATATTACTAGAGCCTAGGAAATTATTTATAAAACAAAATTGTACCAATAGTTGAATGATTATTAAATATATTTGAAGATATTTTCACATAAATCGAATGCCAATTTTCTCTCGTAACAATTACATATATAAAAATGGCGAAGGCGATGATAAAAATCATAATTTATAATCATTCTGTTCTAGTTGAAAATATTTTTCAATTCGTTTCTGTTTAATTTTATCTGAAAAATTCTCGAAATAGGAATGACGACTGAACCTATCAAAAATAGTTTTAACATTTTCATATTTATCAAAAATAATACTTCCCCATGAGAGAAACAGAGCAGCATCTCTGAATTTTAATCGGATGGGATTAAATGGGAATCAATGTTGATACTTAATTATCTTCATGACTAAAGTGGGGTTTTAATGAATAATTCCTAGACAAAGATTGGAAATTGGATTGTTTCTTTAGAGAGCCACCTGAGTTACATGGTAGATTTCGAGAATTTTCGCTCACTGCTAACGGCCCGTTAACAAATAATGATTCATTGAAACGCCCAGTTTTGCGCTGTTTCTTGATATACTTTGTTAATAATTTTTTTCAGCATAAATCACGATGAGACAACGCGGGAGAAGAATTTCCTTATATTCGCTTCAAAACCAAGAAGCATCAGAAATCTTGAAATAAAAAAATTAATGCATGAAATTTCTAAAGTGATCCCATTTTCTATGGGTAATCAGTCACAGATTCGATTATTGAGCACAATAAATTACAACGAAAAAGTGAATGAAGAATTTCAGCGCCCATTAGTCGTGGACGTTTTATGGATTTACTTTCTTCATTTCATATTTTAATTCGTTTACATAAAAAGTAATATCTTCAAGGAAGACATCAATGCGAGTGATGATGACATCATAGAGTCGAAACTGAAAAGTTGCTGAAACTGATAATTGAAGGTTGACTCAGGCTTTCGCATAACTGCAATGATTCATTGGTGTCGTATGGACCGATATCACTGCGACGCGAATAAGAAAATGAAAGTGTATGAGGAAAAATTTATTCCCAATAAATTTATGGCTGATAACTTGGGTTGTATGGAGCCTGTTTTGTATACACTTCCTGTGTGTAGGGAGGTGGCTGAGCTGGCAGTGATGAAACTACACATTTAAATAAAAAAATCAAAATTATTAATGACACGAAGAAATCATTATATTAAAGATGCTCAGCAATTTTCACTATATTTTAGTTTCTCATCATCATGAATTGCTACTAGAACTAACTTGTCTGATCTTAAGAAAATCAAATGGACTAGTCTCGGCAGGAATAAATTAATGAACTTACTCAAATTTATAATTTACTTGCATAAATAAGAATAAAAAGTAATGTTTGAAACTGTGCCGAACTATGCCGGTGGGGAGTAAGAAGAATGGAAATGTTTATGAGATCATTGATTTTTGAAAATTGCTGTTAAATGATCGGGATTAGTTATATCTTGCGGTTAAAAAAAAAGTTGACAATGCGCTCCGTGATAATTTTGGAATATAAATAGTATTGTCCTCACTAAGTCAACTGTTTGCTTCATCTACTCTGCTTTTGAAATGCCAAATATCTGATTACCTGGTGCTACCGTGGGATACAGTTGCGCCTGTGGAGTTGGAATAGTGGTAGGTTGCATTACGGTGATGACTGCGGGGGTCTGCACTTCTGGAAGAAAATGCCTATTAATTCTTGCCCTAACGATAAACACTGTAAAAAATTCAATGAAAAGCATAATGGAAACTGAAATAATAACTCATCGAATAGCAGAAAAATGTGTCAAGGGTATTAGATATCATGTCACAACTCAGTTGCTGTCAATTATTTTTTATTAAGCAAACATGTCATCATGAGATTATATAATTGAGCATACAAAAAATATTTTGTTATTTTAAAAATATATATTTCAGAGAAATGTTTCATTGTTGTAAGCTGGTGCACAACAATTGATGCACCAGGTAAATGAGGTACTGATCACCATTTTATTGGCTCTCTTTCTGTTTAACTTAAATACTCAACGTGAATAATTATTTTCCATAGTAACATTTGGGCCTCTAATGTGTTAACTAAGATTGACATAATATTATCAATAGTTTGTGTGTCGATTTGTTTTTGTCTTTGTTTTTTTTTCATTTTTGTACAGTGTATATTGAAAATCGTAGTGTTTGATTTTTCATCCATTTACGTAGACACACAAGCACTTCGTGACACACTGATCCCCATTGAAGAGACGCCAACTAATGAATTCAGTAATGAAGTGATACGACGTAATCAATCGTAAATGAAATCAATGAATTCGTTGCATTTTGTTAAACGTGAAATTATCTAGGTAACAAATTATCTTCGCAGGACATGTCGAATCATACTTTTTGTGATAAATTTTCTCTTGAAATTATCGAGGTATAAGATAAATGAGAAATGATAAAAAGCGGAAGCTTAGGCGCGTTTTGAGAAACTGATCGGATTTCCAATGATTCAATTTAAGTTTGAGTTTGCGGTAGGAGTGCTGTTTTTGTCGAAAATTTTGCCCTCTATGAGACCTCTTGAATATTATGCAATGAAATGCCTAATTTACGAAAAAAAGCAGTGAATATAACATTGATGTTATGCGAATTGAATGGAAAACTGAAGGTATTATTGAAAAGACGACCTTGAGATCGATTTAATATCTACATTAATTATCAAATTATCAAATTAAATATCTCCTTTACGAATTCCACGAATATTTTTCGTGAAAAAACGACCCTTCAAATGAATACATGAAACGACCATTTATCTACCCGTAGACAACGACTGTTTCGTTCTATTTACGAAAAAGCATCTTAATATTACCGGAATGTATTGACAAAGCTATAAAAATCAAACTTCACAATTAAGAATTATGAGTTAATGTCATTTTCGTTATATTATAACAGTACGAAAGCAAAAAATATTGGATAGAATTAATGTTTATTTTGAGTTGATACTCGATGGAGTGAGGATTCAAGCCATTGGGGGTCCTGAAAAAAATGTTGAATCAGGTCAGTTGTTACGTTTGAGATTAAACGAGATAGTAGTATGAAATTGAAGGACACTGAAAGCATTAACAACACTCGGCCACAGGTATTATTCTTATAATGAAAGTTTAATTGTTTGAAGGGAGATGTACTCACTTCCGTAGACGGTACCACGGTGACGCCTTCTGTACCATGGGCAGCAAGAGCAGCAGAGGCAACTGATGCAGAAGATGATTATTGACACAGTTCCAACGACTGCGATGATTATAGCAACAACACCGATAACTCTAGAAAAGTGCAAAATCATAAATTGAGATTAGAAAACAAATTATTGTAAGCAATCAAGCATAATGTAAAATGATGTAGGTATTGTAGGTATTATGTACCTTAGCCTGCCCTGAAAACATTTTTTACCGAATTTTTCCTTCCGCACAATCTAAATATATAGTTCTAAGATCATCCGAAGAAACTCTCGGATTTTTTTCGATTTTCGGTAAGTTGATCTTCGTCTCAGCTAGCTTCTGCGGGATGAGCTCACGGGGTGCTCGCTCAATGTTGGAATGGGAACAAATATTCCAGGAGGAGGCACTTAATACCAATGATAATGTATAAGTAGTCTATTGATAATGTCGATCTAAGGTGAATACACAATATCACACCGTGGGTTCAGCGTAACGCGGTTGTATGGGTGTGCGTGTGTATATGCGCGTGTTTGTTGCTTTCCAGGTCCAACCGCCGGGGTCTGGCTCTGATCTTCATCTAAGGCACAGAAAAGCCTGAGGGAGGCTTCTGCCCCAAAGTGCTTAGTTAAGCATTCTCACAGGTTTCTCCACCAAAACTCTTCTGACACCACCAATGATGCTGTCTCAACACCCTCAAACAGTTTTTCAACAGAACCGGACTCCAGTATCACTGTGAGACTGCTTAGCTAACTTTTCCGGGATGAGATGGATCACCAACCGGATCCATTCCACCATTTCGTTTTCAGAAGCCCAAAGAGCAAAAATAAACGACGTTAGACAGACTCCTTACGTCACAAATGAATTTCTGAAAATTGTTATGGTTTTATTCCTATAAAAAGTGGACGAGGACAATATTGACTATTTAGAAAGCAAATAATTCCTATGATTATCAATAGTTGGTGGAAACTCGTGGTCAGTAAGGTTAACAATGGACTAATACTTGATTTGTTTGTTGAAATTGATTTACTATTGCAATGTCCAGATTATTTAAAACAATTCCGCGACATAATTAAATTAAATATTCAATGAAAAGAGCCAAGTCAATGAACCACCACCACAGCAAATTGGGCAATTCACAAAAACAAATTTACTACCCGCCACTGACCTCAGGGGAATGTGCAACGCTGCATTCCGCAAAGGCCATCGCAACCCCAAATTCAGCAACTTGGAATTTTTCTAGCAAGTAGAGCCAAGTCAATGAACCTAAAATCAAAGAGGTGGAAATCACGCCACCTCTCCCACTTCAATCAATTTCCCAATTTTCGAAGGAAGAAATAGCAGAGCCTCCTCAAAAATAAGCAGTCTGAAAAAACCCGCTCACGAAAGAGCTACGACTTCCTGGCGGAAATATTATTGGAATCGGTCCGACTTTGGCTAGTGTTTCGGAGGTAATCTTTTATTAAACATTCGGAATGTTCCTGAATAATGTTAGGGAACATTAATTAACAACTGCTCGGGGATACTACATCCTTAAGCCGAGAGTAAATAATTTCCTGCATATTAAGGGAACTAGTAGTAAGCGTTGGTGAATTGTGGGTGTGATTCAACTATAATTATTAGTGACTAGTGAAAACTATCGAGAACCTGGACTCAAGTTAATAAACAAATTTAATTGTACGATCAAACGAACTTACCTGTAAGTGAAGTTCTATCGTGATTATATGAAGAGCCTCGTCTTCGAGATTTCAAATACTAGTAGATGTTTAGAGAATGAACCAATTTTTTATTTATTCATCTAATTTTATAACAAAGCCAGCATTCATTCTGCCATGAATGGGGAGAATAACTGATTATAATAAAGACTCTGTCATTCAACAAGTACAAACAATTTTTTGAGAAAAATAACTCCATATAAATTAATTACTGACTACTCAGTACTGCCCTAGCAAAAGTACTTCTATCCGTAGCACAAGGCGGGTTATAGAAATGTACAAAACGTTAGATCTCTCCGACCAACCAACTGTACTACGAGTGATATCTAGGCTAACACCTTTGAAAGCCGCTGCTGAAGTAGCTGCGTGCTTTGTACTATACGCAGAAAATGTTTTGACATTCTGGACACATGATCTGCTGCAAGATTCTCTCTTGAGGGGATGTAAGAGGCAAACAGCCAGATTGATCTCGCTTCACACCATTGCCACACCTCTCGTGACAAGTTGTGGAGAGGAAGAAATCTAGTACCACCCATGTTATTAATATAGGCAATAGCTGTAGTATTGTCCACTCGAAGAAGAATCTCACAATTCGACAGATTTTGAGCGAAGCAACAAAGAGCCAAGCGGATCGCTAAAAGCTCTAGATAGTTAATGCTGTAACGTCTCTCTTCTACTGACCAGAACCCTCTAGCTGTGTTACCTTCACAGGCTGCTCCCCAGCCTGTGAGGGACGCATCGGTGAAAATAGTAATTCTTGGTCTCTTCAACCTGATAGGATTAGAGCAGGTCAAGACATGTGCTCTCCACCAGTCTGACTGGAGAAAATGAGGGATCACCATCAATCGGTCGAAATTCCCTTCATTTACAATCAAGCATGATTGTTTGGCCCTCTCCAGTGATTTGGTATAAAGCACCCCATAAGCAGTAGGTATTTTAGATTATTTTGATTCGATGAAAAATGCACAAGAAAATCGTTCAATTTTCTTAGGGTGACAAGTACTCCGGTGTACATCTTCCAAAGTTCCATTTGCAAGTATTAAAATCACTGCCAACACTTGTGCAGCCATGCGACCACTAACTTTAGCACGGTCAGAAATGGCCATAATATCAGAAGTTATGACCTTTATTCTCCTGGGTTTCTTGGGCTACAGTTTCACTTCATAGCTGCTAGCCGCTTTTTCACTGCTATTACTACCATCCATACATCTCAGCAGTTCGGAAATGTCTTCTTCAAATTGAAGTCAATATTAGATGAGTCCAAATTTATAATTTATATCGACGAGTCAATAGCGAATCAAAAGTGCTAGTGCAGCTTCATTCGACATTGAATTCCTGACTTGGGTTTCATGAGCGGTATCAAGGAAGTCGTCCAATGAACATTTGAAATCTATTCCTTTCACCTTAAAAGTTGTATTGTTATTTCTTAGGGTACCATATTCGAGGATTGTTCTATAATATACTAATTTCTCCAATTTGTTGATTGAATGGCACTGTTTTATGGTCGAAATCCCCGCATATTCTCAAAAAATAACAGTTTTCCGTACAACACATTGGAACGCTTTGTGAGCCTTAGGTTTTAGTGTACTATATCTTGTATGATAAAAGTTCGGATAAAAGTAACATCCTAAAACTTGCTTGTTTGTAGGCAATTTACTACCACGAATCTCTGCTTTCGCAAAGAGAACCAACCAACGGAATTTCAGTCTGGTGTCGTATCTCCGGCATATTCTGTAGCTTTGATTTTCTAAATGATTATTCTCTAAGAAATGCTTTAACTGACAACTATTTAGAGGAGTATTTGTTAAATTATTTTTAGAGGCAAAACAAAATATTTATGCCTTTCTCAGTTCAGTGTTTGGGCCTCAACGTATGTCATAAGGTCTGAAAAGTATTTTTCTGACGAATTTATATTTTGACAAAAGGGTAACTCTTGTAAATCATCTCTCCATTTAATTGGTACTAGATTTTACTCATTAGGAGATGGCTTTTGGATAAATTAACCACGGTTAGCCGCCGTACTTAACTACGGATTCAAGGCTCCCATTGGTTACCATTTAATGAAACTCAAAAGTCTCTTATTCATAGCCACTTTATTCGAAATCTCTACGGTCTATAGCGAACCTACTGGGTATTTTATATAGATTTTTTCGGAAAACTCAGCTTTCACAGGAGCAAATTCTCATAATAATTTTGAACACCATTTTTTGTGGACTCATTTGAATGATTCTTGACTGATACTCAATATCCTCATGCTGGGAGAATCCGTGTAACGCTAAATGTGTATCAACATCCTCAACGTTTATGTCAATAAAAACTCAAATAGTCTCGAAAGTAATGTTTATCATAAATGCTATCATAAAGTTCGTACCCTGTTGACAGTGCAAATTCTTGTGCATCACAGCAGTGAATACTATTTGTCCCCACGCAGCAGAACGCCTTGTCACTGCTATCAAGGATTCCGGGACAGGTATTCAAGCTCTTTTCCAGGAAGTTTGAGCTTGTCCCAAAATTACAGTCCATTTCTATAAGAAAAGGATATAAAATCATGTTAAATTGGAATATTGCATTTTAACCAATTCCTTCGTACATCATTAATTATAAAGGATAAACAACAAACTATAACATTAATCGGAAATAGCGGTAAATGGAATGAAATTTAAAAAGGGAGTAGTAGATCGTTTTCCACATCCCATCTGATATAGATTTATCTTGGAACTATTTGATATGTAGCCCGTCGAAGTATTAAGAGAGACTCGGAAATGGAACTCCAACATTTACAAGTAGCCGGATCGACACAAGCGAAAGAAAGACGATTGTCGAAAAGTTTCATTTTGAGTCAAATCAACATTATTGATTCATTGATTTATTAAATTATCTGGTTGATAAGTAGAGTTAATCTTTTAGTAATGAATTCATGAGTGGTACTTTTCTATAGAAAGGGAAGATTATTGACGGCGATAGGAAATAGGCCAGTACAGATATATTACAGAGTGACGTACGCATTTTTTTCGTAATAAAAATCATTTATATAAATGTCACTGGATATTCATTTATATAATTATTATATTTATATTGTTAATTATTGAGTTTAATTATATTCATTTAATATCTATTTTTATTATTATTGATCTTGTGATGTCCAAAAACCTATATAAATAGTTTTCCTGCAATTTCATAAATACTAAATACCTTTTTCAATTTCATAAATATTAACTACTGTAAATACCTTCATTGAATATTAAATTCCACTTTCAATAAATCAGTCCAATTTCACCATC